TTTGTTCTCTGGAGGCATGTCAGTGCCTTCTTCTCTGGAGACATGTCAGTGTCTTCTTCTCTGGAGACATGTCGGTGTCTTCTACACTGAAGACATGCAAGTGTCTTCTTCTCTGAATACGTCAGCGTTTTGTTCTCTGGATGCATGTTAGTGTATTTTGCTCTGGTGACATGCCAGTGCCTTCTTTTCTGGGGACATGTCAGTGTCTTCTTCTTTGGAGACATGTCAGTGTCTTCTACATTGAAGACATGTAAGTGTCTTCTTCTCTGAAGACATCAGCGTTTTGTTCTCTGGAGGCATATTTGTGTCTTTTTCACTGGAGACATGTCAGTGTCTTTTTTGAAAACATCAGTGTAGTCTTCCCAGTAGACATGTCAGTGTATTTCTTGAGTCAAAAAGCTCACTGCCATCTCTCCAAGACATTTTCAAACCACCATTGGAATGTCATCAGGTCTTACTGCCTTCCCCTTCTTCATTCTTTTCAGAGCTTTCTGAACTTCACCCTCCCTAATTCAAATTTTTTTAAAAAGTTCAACATACACATACATATGTAGATTGACAATTCACACCTCAACACCTTAACAGTAGGGGGTTCTTAAGGTCTTTGTTACTCTAATTCACAGATGAGGTCCTTCTGTTCCCATCAGGTGTGAAAACTGGCTGGGAATCATATCCTGATGCATGCTCAATAATCCAGGTAGAAAAATCTAAAAAAGTTAAATCTGGTCCTCTGGACATTCAAAAAAACAAAACAAAGCAAAACAACAAAAAAATGTAGAAACTTTTCGTCTCTCATCCGAGAGACTTCCTCAGTCTGAGATGCTGTATTCAGCTCAGTCTCTTAAATAGCACCTTCTCAGAGTGGATCAACCAGTTTGCTGCTGACAACCAGAACCAGCTGATCACATGCTCAAGAAGGACCATCAGCCTAACAATGAATCATTAGCACCTGATGGCTGTTTACTGTTCACAGAGGGCTGAGTGATACTAGCAATCACAGCATTGTAAGAGGGAGACAGTTGAACCTGGAGGCTCCACCCCTGTTTAATGATGGACGGTTTCTTTTCACAAAGATGGCCTCCTTTACTCCTCTCTCAAACCATCGTTCCTCTCTGTCCAGGATGTGAACATCTTCATCCCTGAAAGAGTGACCGCTGGCCTGGAGATGAGTGTAGACCGCAGAGTCCTGGCCTGATGATGTTGATCTTCTGTGCTGGTCCATCCTTTTGGCCAGTGGCTTTTTAGTTTCCCCAATGTAAGACTGATCACCCTCCTGACACTGAACAGCATATACAACATTACTCTGTTTGTGCCGGGGGACTGGATCTTTGGGATGAACCAGTCTTTAATGTATTTTTGGGTTTAAAAGCCACTGGGACGTTATGTTTAGAAAATAAACGTCTCAGTTTCTCTGATACTCCCTCAACATACGGAATGACCACTGGTCTGGGTCTGTCAAGTTATGACACTCCTTAGTGACTTAAACACTTATGAACCTCTGAAAAGAGATCCAGGAAGTGGTTACAAGAAGAAATTGATAGATTGCCTGAAAAATTTGGAGCAGGACAAGGCTATTGACCATTTTCTGTACCATAGACTGTACCCAGGGGAGGCCACACCTAGTCTGTATGGTTTACCTAAAATCCACAAACAAGGTGTACCTTTAAGACCAATTGTTAGCATGATTAACTCTGTCACTTACAATGTTTCCAAATATCTGGCGTCTGTACTCATCCCTTTAGTTGGCAGCTCAGAACACCACATACAGAACACCATGGACTTTGTGGACAAGGTGAGGGATGTCATCATGGAGACTGATGAAACAATGGTCTCTTTTGATGTCACATCACTCTTTACGTGCATTCCTGTTGATGATGCAGTAGAGGTGGTCAGTTTAAGATTAAAATCAGACACCACTCTGAGCAGCAGGACCACACTTTCCACAGAACAACTGTGTCAACTCTTGAAACTGTGCCTGCAGTCAACCTACTTCACATATGGGGAGCAATATTATAGGCAGAAACATGGGTGTGCTATGGGGTCTCCAGTTTCTCCTATTGTTGCCAACCTGT